CCACGACTCGGTCAGGACCATGGCCCTGCAATTCGGGGCCCTGAAGGAGACCTTCTACGGCAACACGTGGGACGTCGTGTCCAAGCCGCGCGCCGAGAACGTCGCCTACACGAGCGAATACCTCGGCCTGCACTCCGACATGCTCTACCTCCACTCGCCGCCCAAGCTGCAGTTCCTGCACTGCCTCGAGAACAAGGCCGTCGGCGGCGAGTCGCTCTTCAGCGACGCCATGCGCACGGCGGCCGAGATGATGGTCCACACGCCCGACCTCGCCGCCGCCCTTGCCGAGACAAACCTCGGCTGGCACTACGACAACGGCGGCTTCTTCTACGAGCAGGCGCGGCCCGTCTTCCAGGGCATGGGCCAGCTCGATGCCGGGACCCGCGAGGTGCTCGCCGCCGGCGCGGCGTCGGGGCACGACACGGCCGACGCCGTCGCGCGCCTGTACGGCGCGCTGCCCACGGACGTCTGGTGGTCGCCGCCCTTCCAGACGCCGCTGCGCGCGCCCACGACGCCTGAGGCGCGGACGCGCTTCGCCGCGTGGCACGCCGCCGCCTCGACCTTCCAGCACATGCTCGAGGAGGACGGCAACATGATTCGCCGCCGGCTGAGGGAGGGCGACTGCGTCGTCTTCGACAACCGGCGCGTCCTGCACGGCCGGACGGCGTTCGACCCCGCGTCGGGCGGCCGGCACCTGCGGGGCGCGTACGTTGGGATCGACGAGTGGAGGAGCACGATCAAGCGCGTGGAGCGGGACTACGCGGTGCCTGAATTTCTGGAGGCCAGGAAGCAAGCTCTTCGGGCGTGGTCGGAGAATCAATAGATGTCGGAGCATTAGGGAGCGCTTCTGCAATGATCTTTTGCATCATGATAGGCCTACGAGCTTGGCATGCAAAATATACAAGGGGAGGCCCACAAAGTCACATTGTGCTGGCACAAAGAGTGAGCATTACGTCGTCATTTCGTGATGATCTAGGCAGGCGTACTCCTGTCTATACTGATGGGCGCCCTCTTCAAGCTTCGCCTGCAAACTTGATATGAATGTTGAAGCGGTTCATACCCTCATTCTTCGGCCTTCTGGCTGCACCTGACCTCCACCCTCGCATGCGCAGGACCCTACGCCTCCCACTTCTTGACGTTGACACCCTCGGGCGGCACCGTCTCGACCTTGCCCGTCTTGACATCGTCCCAGTTGGTGCTCAACGACGTGCCGTTGCTCTCTGTGAATGACTTCATCATGGCGCGCTTCTGCTCGTCCGTCGCCCCCTTGTACAGCGTCTTGAAAAAGTCGTTGACGCTCTCCTTCTCCGTGTCGTCTTCATCGGCCAGGACCTTGTCCCAGTTTTTGGCGCCCGTGCGGGACGACGAAGGGGCCGCGGCCGCGGGCGCTGGCGCAGCTGCCACCTTGGCGGGCGCGGCGGCCGGCGCATCGGCGGCGCGGCGGAGGGTGCCCCATTTGACGGGCTCGCGCTTCTTGAGAGTGAGCTCGACCTTGTTGGGCGTGACGGTAGACTTGCACTGGGCGGGATCGATCTGTCCGTAGAGGGGAATCTCGTACCAGGGCTCGTGGCCGGGGATGTGGCTGAGGCGTACCTAGTGTGCCATTGTCAGCAAGAACTCGGATGCTACTGCTGTGATGGGTGTAGAAACGTACCAGGTCCTCCGTGAACTCGGCGCGGAACGCATCCTTCGGCACGCCCTTGACAAACAC